GATAGAAGGCATGCATCATCAATTATTGATGTAAAGACTGCCCGTGGACCTAATTGTGACTCAGACCACTTCTTAGTCAAAGTAAAGTTTAGAGAGCGATTAGCATACGTGAAGTCTGGGAGTCGGCATTATAGTAAGAAATGGGATTTGGAAAAATGTAAACTTGAAGATATCACTGAGCAATTTAAAGAATCTATAAGTGAAAAGCTAACAAAATTTAAAGGAATTGGAATTGGTGAATTCGAAGAGGGATGGCGTAAAATTATAAAAGCTATTGAGAAATCTGCAGATAATGTGATTGGAGAGAAGAGAGAGCGGAGAAGTGAGGAATGGTTCGATGAGGAGTGTGCAGCAGCCCTAAATGTTAGAAATGAACATAGATAAGCTGTACTCCAACGCTACCAGACAAAGCTATATTGCCTATAATGAAGAAGAAATGCCACAAAAATTATTAGAAAGAAAAAAAGGGAATTCTTAACAAAGAAGATTGAATGAATAGAAGAACTGAGGGTAAATAATGAAACGAGGAAATTCTATTGGACCGTCAGATATATGAATCGTGGATTCTAAGGTCAATGCATGTAAAGATAAAAATGGAAAAATATTAGAAAAAAAAACATGGTAATTGACATATAGGCGGAACGTTTCAATTACTTTCTGAATGTAAGAAGCACATGGAGGAGAAGAATTATCTAAGCAGCTCTGCGATCTCATATATATATATATATGAATTGGGTGCAGGAAACCATACCTGAAGAATGGAACACTGCAGTTCTATGTCCTATTTTTCAAAATAGGGACCAGTTGAACTGCGATAACTACAGAGGAATAGCACTACTGCCAACTGTATATAAAGTCCTTTCCATTGCTATTAGTTAGAGACTGGCGTCATGGGCAAAGAATTTGCGGAGATTATCAATGTGGTTTCAGGAAAAATAGGACAACAGTGGATCACATCTTTGTTGTAAGACATATGCTAGAGAAAACATACGAGCATAACGTGGATCAGCACAATGTCTTTATAGATTTCAAGTTGGCGTATGATTCTATAGACAGAAAGGAATTACAATATCTCCGGCTCAGATGGTCGGAAAGAAGCCGGCTCAAATGGCAAGGCCATGTAGAGAGAATGGAGGAGAATAGGCTGCCTAGGAAACTTCTCTATAACCGTCCAGGATGACCACGTCGTAGGGGAAGACCCCAGCTGTGGTGGATCAACGACGTGGAGGAAGACCTCAGCCGCATGGGTATCAGAAGATGGTGAAGAATATCTGCCGATAGGGAAGCATGGCGGAAGCTTGTTTCTGACGCCCAGGTCCATTAAGGACTGTAGAGTAAATAAATAAAATAAAATAAAGCAGCACAGTCTCTGGCGAGACACCGAAGCTAGAAAACTGGTCTGATTTAGAACCGCTCTCAATCGAGGAAGTGGTAGAATCAATTAACAAATTACAAAGCTCCTGCAGAAGATTCCGGAATTCTGAATGAAGATTGTAGGAAATCGTGATTAGGCAATGGGAGGATGTGATGAGTGAGAGATTGATGTACGATGACAGCAGTACCGACATGTGCTCTACCGACGGTAGACTACCGTCAGGATGGTTTTTCAGATACGTTAAATACTCTGCTATTTTTAAAAACTGTTTTTTGGTCATTCGAGTTTCTGTAATTAGGGCTATATCAATGTTCTTGTCTAATAGTAAGGCTTTTAGTTCGTCTGTGTGATTTCTAACACCATTCCCATTCCATAGGAGAATGGATATGGGTTTAATGGGAGTCATATAAGGATTTTTCAAAGGAGGAATGAGATGAGATACCTGGTTTGTAAGAAGTGATATCAATGGGATGACAAGGGATTTAAATTCAGTAAGAAAAGATGTCAATAAACTAGTAAGATCTGATACATGATGAAATTAAACAAAAGATTGAGAACATGATTATATTGCGTATAATTGAATAAAACAAAACAAATAAAATTTGTACCTTTGTAAAATTTTGCGGTTCTTGATCTATGAAGTATATATTACTGATGGCATTGTAATGTTAGAAGTGAATTTTTTTTTATTGAAATTGGACTGTCAATTTGGACTCACTTACTGTCGTTCACTTACTGTCTGAAATTGAACTTCATAATTTTGGCCATCTCTTCTTCCTCCCCATACTTCCTCCACCAGGCTGTTCTCTTGAGTTTACAACTCATTTTCTTTCTTTCTTTGTGATTTCTGGAGAAAAGTAACTGTCAATGTGCACACTTCACCAATGAATAGGATTATCTCAACAGAAATAGGTAGCAGCAAAATGAAGGCCATAAAATAGTGGTGAAGTTCCGAATTTTTTTGTGTGTTACGGGGGTTGATCCCTGTACAGCTATTGTGCCCGATTGTCGCGTTGAGGCGAGAGATGGGGGCAGATCAGTTGGGATCTAAAAGGTAAAATTTAATCCGTTCCAGCTACGATAAGCACTGGCCCACTCCATCACAGATAGCCAGAGACATGAACTAGCAGACTTGAGGGCCCCAGGTAGTATGATGTCTATGCCAGCATAAAAGGCTAAGCCAATTTGCACAATTCATATAACCTACCACTATATCAAAATTCAGTCCACTGCATAAATATGTCGAATGTTGCCAATAAGTTGAATGTTGTCTATTTTGAACTCATTAAGATTTATTTGCCTTTATTAAATTAAAATTAGAAAGTTACCAAAAAATGTTGGCCCACCGGACACGATTGTATAGTTTTTTTTTTGCCATATTAGCGATGTTTTGCCGTACGTAAAGGAGAAAAATGGGCGGATAGGTTATGAGAGTTTCTTACTTTGTTGCGTATTAGGGGGGAGCCAGAGTAATAACAATTTAATTTTTTTTGTAAAAATCGTATATTTCCGGGTTATTATTCGTATTTCGCCTACTAATTCGTTATTTTTTTAAAAATATATTTTATGTCGTATATTTAATATATCTAATGCTTTCGTTACGTATTTGGGGAACTCAAGCTGTTTCCAGATAAGTTTCCAGGGATTTTTAGGAAAGAACGCATAGTGACTTGCTAGAATTAATTGACTTAGTTAATACTTACGTTAATCCTTTTTTTATCTCGCCCTGCTTTGCTGGACTTTGCTTTTATTTTGAAGAAAATTGGTTTTGCCTTCAGCAATTCAAATTTAATTATGAATTTCTACTTTTTTCAACAACTTTGAAGATGGCGCCGACTAAGGGTACTGAGGGACTTAAAGTTATAAATGATAGAAAGGAAGTTTCTTAAAATACAAACCACTTTCGATATGATTAAGTGTTTCCTTCCTGGAAAGAAAATTTTTATGGCTAGGACTTCAGAAATTAAAGCAGGATTGGAGGAATTTGAAACAGTGTTGAACAAAATTTTTGTGCTAAATGAATCGTTAGAGGAGGAACATCCCTTTAGAGAATCCCTCAAGAGGATATTTCGAAAGGAATACCTCTCCATTATAATTGGAAAGGGAAGAAGAAGGAGTAAAGATATGAAGAGTTAGTAGAAAGGAAGAATGCCAAAAGAATAAATTGGCTATTGGCTACAGTCAATAGCCAGAATCGCTCGCCTAAGAACAGCCAATGAAGAACTGATGCGCCCTTACCAACGACTGTTTTCATTAGAATGCAGCTCGAATGAAGCAGAAGAAATTACTAAATTATTAAACAAGGGAACTATTGATTCACCACAAGCAACCTCCACATAATGCCAAGAAGAAAAAAGAAGCAGAACACGTACAATCAAATACCCCAAAGATAAGACTTGTGAAATTTGCATTTCCCATTTTAAATTTTGTTATTGTTAAATTAATTTATAATTTAAGGGATACATTTAAAGGTGGGATCGTGTTAAGTTAATGCATCATTTTTGGCAAGGACTGCTCAGCTGTTACAAACATACCAGGTTGGCTTGGGTTAAATAAGCTCAGTAGGATTCCTTTGTTGTTTGTTATTGTCACATATAGAGAAAAATAAGGGTGTTTTTAGGTATTTGTGGTGTAAACTTTTTTAACAAAGTCTCATTTGTTTCCTGAATCTATTTCCTAATATTAAATGGTCTTTCCCGTTCGCGTCTAGTCACAGTTACCTTAGGCATTTATTAATTTATTTGTGATTTATATCTGTTATTACGTTTTTCATGTTTTAATAATTGTAATATTAATTATAGTTAATTAATCGTTGCATAAAAATGGATCACTTTTAACCCAAAAACAAAATTATGATTGAAATTCTAACAAATCTTTATTGATTAAAATTATTTATAATAAAAAAAAAGTTTATATATTAATCATTTTATAATACGTATTGAATACAAATAAGTGAATTTTTTATATTCAAAATTATTAACCTCCGGCACTTTTATATTTCTATTATTTACACTATAATTTACAATTTAAAAAAATATTGCCAAGTTTTCTCACAATATTTACTAGATATAAATTATCTAAAATAAATTTACTGTTTATCAATTTTTGGTTTATCCATTTATTAAATAGGTTAATTTATATATATTTTTTCAGTATAAATTTCAGTTTTATTTGGGTAGTCTGAGTTGTGATTTAAATATTATTGGTTTTTTTTTCTTTATTTTGTTAATTATCAATAGGATATTATGGGGAAAACAGTTATTGAGAGATGTATCACTTATAAACTTTTTAATTATTTAGATGGCAATTTGAGCCTGCAAAAAACAATTGAAAAGGTTAATTAATATGTTATTGGAAAATTATTTTTCTAAATATAATAAATTAAATGAAAAACAATTCATCATATTTTAATAACTTTTTTGACAAACAAACAACTTTCTACCAAATTTGAAGTTTTTAAGACAGAGAGGAGCGATAATATGGAGAGAACGAAAAGACCGAGTGAACGACCGTTTCTTGAAAACCGTTCACCATTCCTACCGTTCACTAAAATAATCCGTTCCTTCCGACCGGTTCCTCTGTGAACGACATATCTCTAATCATTACTTTGTCAAAGGTACTTAATATCTTAACTAGTGTGACAAAGGCTTCTTAGGAAGGTTGTGTTTTGTCATCATGTCATTAAATGGATTTCTTTCAAAAAACCAATTTCACATATTGAAAAGAGCTATGTATTACAATAGGAATATTAAACAATTATCGACAATTAAAGAACATCAAGGGTTAGTTTTGAAAAATTGACATTTTATGCTTACTGAAACCAATGAGCAAGTTAAATACAATTAATATTTCTTAGCATCAATTTTGATTAAACTTTTGTGGCTTACATATTATATGATATCTACATTACTTTTATGCTATTTCGATATTTTTCATAATTAATCTAATGCAATTATATGGTGGTTAATTTATTGATGCTCAATTATTGCAAGGTGATTTTAATTGTTACATTTTGGCTATTTGTAGCTACCCTTGTTGGGTTAAGTATTATAATTTGATCGATTATCTTAGGTAAATAGTGAAATCCTCTCTTAAAAAGGCATTTAAATATCTGTGATATGATGTGTATCAGCATTTTAACTAATCTACATGTTAAATTTTAGCTAAATATTACTAAGTCTTTTCAAATCAGTTACTATCTGCCATTTGGGAATGTTGATTTGTTTCTTTATTTTCAAAATTAGGGACATTATATCTTACTTATGCGACCCGTATCTTAGTTTTAAAATTTTGCATTTAGTAGAATATAAATATTTGGATTTTTTGTTTTAGGACTTATTTCCTTAATTAGCTACTATTTCCTTACATTTACCCCAACCTAAAATCTGATCAGTCAGTTTCGTTGACAGATATTTTTTAAGTTTTTGTTTTTATTGGAAATTATAAAAGCAACCTAAGCTTATTTATTGTCATTTTTAACTCAAGAATCATTTCCTAAAACTTATTTTTTTATTTTAAATAACCTAGTCATTTTTATGTTTGGTTACTTTAGGGTTGAACCTGTTTCAATGTCATTTAACATTTATGATAAAAGAAGAAATGATGACAATTTTATACCTCTTATTATTATGCACGGATTATTTGGTTCTAAAAGCAATTGGAATTCACTTTCTAAAGCCATAAACGAAATTACATATAGAAAGGTGCGTAGATTTTGTTCTTTTGTCTTATTTATAGGTATCACATGACATATTAGTGAATGATGTTCAGTTTAAAGAGCGTGTTGTTAATGTCAATTGTAAATTTATCTTTCTAAATTATTCAAGTTTGAAATCATAGCATTTGGCTGATTTACTCATTTAATTGTTGAGTTTTATATTTTTGCCATAAAAATAGACAGTCATAGCTATTTAATGACTACTTATTTTTTTAACCTCTAGCTACACTATTATAACTTTTACTTTTATCAACATCTGTGTTGCACAATTTCACAATCATTGAATATTAAATAAGATTAGTAAAAGGTTGCTTAATCGTACGGGGTGGAAATGCCACATAATAGTGCCAGCTCTAGATTTTAAATACTTTGTTTAACCAGTTTTCATCTTTCGGTGAGTTTTGTCTGAGATGTTAATTGTCATTTGTATGAGTTTCTTGAAATGTCTTTGTAGTTGTTTTAACTTAGATAATATGCACAAATTTTAATTAAAGTAGTTTGTGCATGTAAATCAGTGTACAGCATGTCCCGTCAGTAGAGGGAAATTTTTATAGGAGTGATAGCAGACCTTACCAAAGAGTTCGTATAAACAATGGGCCAATTTTCAGCAGGAAAGTAGGAAATCCAAGTATAGTGTTTTGTTAAGTAAGTCATGTTTTTTGTTGAATAGGAAACTAAAGAAATATTTAATCAAGCAATTAACAATTACTTTGCTGTAAGCTAGATAAAATTTACTTGAAATTAAAATAGAGTTTGTTATTATTAAAACCATTCAAAATGGACTTTTGAATGGCTGAACTTAGCTAAGTTCTGATATTTAAATCAAGAATTATTTGTGATTTTATTTTATCATCATCCAACTATACTACAGGTACTCTACTTTTAGAAAATACTTTCTTGTTTAATAAGCTTAAAGTCCATGTTAATCAGGTTGAGATTTATTAGGCAAAATATTGAGATTCACCTCAAGTTCTATAAAGGAATGATGTGGTTTTCTATCCAGTCACGTAATAGTACCTGTGTTTTCAGCAAAAATGACTAAAATTAACTGTTGCAAAGCTTTTATTTATTGTTTTTCTACTATCTGGGATGCACTTTAATATACATTATTGCCTAAATACACATTTTATGTATAAAAATAATGGTTTTCAAATATATTTTATGTAAAGTGGTTATGTAACTGTGTTTTTCTCGCAGATCTCTGTCATAGGAATTGATCTGGGTTAATCAGTTTACAAACTTAATGTTTCTAGTCCTAAAATTTACATTTAAAATAAAGAAACCTGCTGATTGTTTCAATTATTTTCATAAAAAAGTAAATATTACGGCTAATAACATTAGTTTTGTCATTTATAAATACGCATCAATGCCTATGACAAAAATCTGGGAGAAAAACTCAATTTCATGACCACCTTACTTCAAACATATTTTAAAAATCATTATTTTTAATTTTTATGAATAAAATGGGTTTTTAGGCAATTGTGTTTATTACAAGACATCCTATATTTTGGGGAAAAAAGAAATATAAGCTTTGCAACAGTTAATTGTAATCATTTTTGCTGAAAACACGGATAATTTTAGCTGACGGGAATAAAAATCACATCATTTCTTAACACAACCTGTGGTGATCCTCAACATTTTTCCTAACAAACCTCAACTTAATTAATATTGACTTATTAATTGAAGCTTATTAAATGAGGAAGTTTTCTAAAAGTGGGGTAAATATAGCATAGTTTAAGAGTAAATAAAAAAAAATCAGATAATTTATGACTTTATGAATTTTTTAAACGAAACTTAGCTATGTTTGTCCGGTCAATAGTCCTCTTTAAATAGTTTTGAAAATGACAAACTCTAATTTTGTTAAAAGCGAATTTTGTCTAGAATAGTATGGATTAAATTTTGATTTAAATAAAATTGAGTTTTGCTTTCAGAAATTAAAATTTAATTTAGAATAAAATTGGGTTTTGCCTTCAGCAATTGTAATTTGATTTGAATTTTTTTTTTTCTCTACAACTTTGAAGATGGCACCGACTAAGGGTACTGAGGGACTTAAAGCTATAAATGATAGAAAGGAAAGGATGTTTCTTCGAATTAAAACCACATACGATATGATTAAGCATCTCCCTGATAGAGAGGAAATTTTTATGGTTAGTGCTTCAGAAATTAAAGCACAACTAGAGGAATTTGAAGTGGTGTTGAACAAGATTTCCGTGATGAATCAATCATTAGACGAAGAACATAAAATAGAAATAAACACACCACCTCTAATGGCGGAAGAATTTTATTATGAAATAAAAGTTGCGCACGAGAAATTAATTAAAGCTGAGCACATAGTTACCGTTTCTCAGCCCATGTCTGAACCAGTAGTGTACCCTAAATTGCTAGATCTGCAAATTCCTCCATTTTCTGGCCAGTAAGAACAATTTCCCTCCTATAAATCATTATTTGATGCCTTGATTCATCATCGAAATTATACAGAAATAGTAAAGTTTTCATACCTCAAATCACTTTTAGTTCATTCTGCTTTAGAAGCCATTTCTTCAATCCAGTTTAACGCAGAAAATTACAGCTTGGCCTATGATAAATTAGTATAGCGCTACAGTAACAAAAGGATCATTGCGGCCTATCTTCTTAAAAAAATTATACGGTTTAAATCATTTTCGGTTCATAATTCTACCAACTTCAGAAGCTTTCTGGATATATTTGAAGATAATTACGCCTTACAAAATCTTAAACTCCACAACCTCGCTGATTTTATTTTGCTGCATCTTCGACTGAACGTTGTAGACCCGAATACAAGAAGAATTTTTGAGAATAGTCTCGGCAAAGAGACAGTGCCTGACTTTAAAGAATTTTGGAAATTTTTTAGGTCACAACTGAGAGTCGCAGAAATGTGTTTTGAGCCGTTTAAAACCACCCAGCCTAAAGTTCAGCGAAAAAAAGTTTTAACCAGATAAGCAGAAATTCAAGTTAGAATGCCCAGTTTGTAAATCAAACCATAAAATTATAAATTGCCCTCAGTTTTTGGATGCCAATGTCAACGGTCATTATGACTTGTTAAATAAGTCTGATTTATGCTTTTCTTGTACGGGACCTCATCGCTTACTGAATTGCCAAAATAAGGTCTGTTGCCAAGTTTGTGGAAAAAGAATTCACCATACAATGTTAAATAAAGCTACAAACACTGAGCCATCACAGTCACAAGTAGCAAACAATTCTCGTGCAGTTTCGTGCCATGCTACCACCAACTCACAGGTACTTCCGGGTACAGGGTTAGGTAGAATTTATTCAAGTTCAGGTCAGAGGTATTCATGCATAATGGTGATGGATCCAGGTTCACAAATTAATTTAATTACCACTGATCTAGTGAAAAAGTTGCACCTTTGTTCTCGGGTTAGTCCTCTTGTGGTGTCTGGAGTAGGTAATACCTGCATATCTTCATCTTCTGCTGAGGTTAAAGTGAAGTTGGGTTTAATGAAAAATAAAAATATATATGAATTTTCAGCCAGAGTACTGCCCTGCATAACTGGAAGTTTGCCGTGCCCAAGAAGTACGGAATAAATCTGCGTTAATAGAACTAGCAGACCCTCAATTTCATATGCCAGGAAAAGTTTATTTGCTTCTAGGTGCTGAGATGTACGGAGAGGTTTTAAGTGATCCTGTTTTATTTCTTAAGGGTCAACCGAAAGATATTCATACCTCATTAGGATGGTTATTATTTGGGGACACCCTCTCGGAAAGCCAAAGCCCTATACCTTCAATACGTACTTTTTTCATGCAGCTCTTCCTTACAGGAGGAATTAAAGCGATTTTGGGAGACTGAGGAAGTCACAGTTTTGATTCCGCCGAATCCTGAAGATGTATTTTGCGAAGATCACTTTATAAGTACATGCACTCGGGTTCTCCAGGGTAGATTCGTTGTTTCACTTCCGTTCTGTTCTGACCAGCCGATAGACCTTGATTTCAACTGAGAGATAGCTCTACGCAGATTTAGAAATCTGGAAAATAGATTTAGGAGAGATCCGGAGTATAAGTCTGCCTATGCTGCACAGATGGATGAATATATAAGAAGAACCCTTCTACATAGAATAGAAGAATCAACTTTATTGTGGGACAAAGTCCCTTGAGAATAACAATATTGTACATAAAAATTAACATAACATCTGGCCAAAATGCATATTACAATAAAAAAAACAAAAAATAATTAATAAAAGAAGTTTTTCATAACTATACAGATATATTAAAGACATAATATGAACAATAAGGTCCTAATACCGCAAAATAGTTGCTATAAACAATAAACTATAGAATTATAAATGAAATTTGAAATGAGCGACAAATTACTTTTGTTGTCATACCATTGTATTAATGAAAAAAATAATAATAAAACAGTGGATAAATATTTACTTTAAATGATTTACATATGTACCTTAATACGTTTAAAGAATACAATAATAGTATTGTAAACCTTATACAAGTCCTATATAATCTAAATCCTAAGATGTAGATTGCTTGGATAAAATAAAATATACATATACATATAGAGGAGATTATATACATATATAATATACATGATAAATGGCTACCCAGCGTCTGATTGAATTGTAAGGAAGAATTGGAATAAGAGGGTTTTAAATATGGATAAGGATGGTGCATGGCGGATTTTAAATAGGATGGAATTCCAAAAGGTGGTGGAGCGGACAATAAAGGAGTGTTGAAATTAGGCCGATTTGTGGAAAGGGGTATAAAGGTCAGAAGGACGAGATCTTGTGGAGAGGGAGTGGATAGATGACTTGAATTGAAAGAGATTGAATGTGTAGGATGGACGATGATTATAGATTTTTTGGTTGATGTTCACTCGGCCATAGATGACAAAAAACTAATTGTCCTTGTACTCCTAGACTTTTCCAATGCCTTTGATACCATTAACCATTCCATCCTTTTCTCCAAATTAAAATCGTTATTAATAAATGTATTTTATTTATT